CAAAATGAATGGCACATTTATATTTAATTAATATTATTCATTTTTATAATTAGACCTTTCTTGTAGTTATATTTTAATCTATGCATTTGAATAGTGAAAGAAAAATAAATCAAATGCTCTATGATACAGGCTGCTCGGGTTGCCATCGGCGTAAACAAAAATAAAAACAACAAAAAAGCCTCTTTTTGTACATAATCTCCAGGATAGTTACATTACAAACTGTATTTGGACCATTGACCATTCATAAAAAATAATCTGAGCATCATATTGCGAATAAATTACTGACGAACGCGTACAAATTAAAACAAAATCTTAACATAGACCTACATAGTACGCATAGACAACAAAATATAGATAATTAATAATTAAAAAAACTTATGTAACGCTAAATGGAAGAGGATCAACTAAACTAACTAAAAGATGATAGGCTTACAACTAAAGTACAATACTAATAAGATATTTTGAACTATGAAGATCATTTATGTCATAAGTAGGTCGATACTGCTAGTCGATGCTCAGTGCACACGTTGGGCTATGTACATTTAAACTATCGCCATTTTATTGTTATAGAGGATACTTGTCTATGGGTGTCATAGACAATTTACGTGTTCTGAAAACAAATTCAAAGACAAAACTTATTTTTTTAAATGTGGCAAAGATACGTTTATGTTAGGCCAACGTGTACCCATTAAATAATTTTATTTCTGTCGTCCATTTAATCACATAAATCTTTAGTACATCTGTTCCACAATTGAAACTCCCAACATGGGTGACTTACGGGAGATTTGATTTCTTTTTGTGGTCATTTAATACTATGTGTTGATGTCATATCTCGGCCGGCATTATTAAATACATTTAATGTATGTTTTAAAATATTGTATAAAATTATTGAAGTATTTAACTATGGAGATAATATTGATTGTAATTACAATTACATTATTAACTAGCTGACTGTCAAATTTCAGTAATGTGAACCTCAAAATTGCTATGTTGTTAGTCTAAAAAGGTATTTTTGTATTCTACCTGGTTACACTTACCGTGGTCACGTGCTAACTCAGCCTGTGACCACGGCCCGTGCATATTTAATATCGATACTAGGGTCACAGAGAAACAAAGATATACATTACAGCGAATAACTTGTAATGTATGTTTTTATATTTTAACTATTGTTAACAATAACTAAACTGTTAAAAATTTGCTAATCGTCTAAGAATAATATACACTATATTTATTTGGAAAATTTGTGATAAGGTTCAATCCACTTTGTTTAAGTCGGTCAATGAACACGAACTGAAGAGTTCTTGATATAAAGTACCAGGGTCACAGAAAAGGTGAGGAGCTCCTTACGTTAAGCTATATTCTATTACAATCAATATTACCGCCAACATACATTACGTCACTTGAATTAATCAAGGAAAAATGAACCTTAAACCTATATATTACAGAGTACCATTTAGGACTAACGAAAAAAAAATGAACAGATTCTGACGGTAGTACAAAGAGAACAATAAAAATTATACAGTTTTAATTACCGATTTTGTTAAGTAGGATTAAAATAATGATATTTTTCATAGAATTAGTAATCAGGGTGTAAAGTTGGAGACTGTCACTTTTTAAACATACATACGTATCTTAAAATATTTATGTATTTTTTGTTAAATTGTAAGTGAATTTGACAAAAATTGAAAAGTTTTTTCTGTAAAAATATATTAATTCTAAACATCTGCAGTTTTATCTGTTTATTTTTATTATTATAAACCATCCACCGTGCAAACAACACAATGGTATGGTACGTAGAGTGAAATAATGATGTCTACGTGATAAGTGACATGTACCAGTCCTTTCAGCCCTTATCAATAATTCAACAAGAATGTCCAAAACAAATAATATTGGAACGACTAAAGACAAAGTACTAATTGTTAAACAAAACTGCAGTACATATCATAGCCGTTTCTTTATAAATACTCTTGTCGTGACCAAACTGTAATAATCCGCTGTGGATTCAAACCGCGGCTGTTTGAAGTTTAAGGGGGCAAATTTGTGTACGGGTGACTACCTCCACTCGTGGTGACCTGCAATTTAGTTACCACCATCTGAGTAACCCCCCCCCCCCTGCCCCTCCCCCAGAGACATGGGGCAGAGGTGTGATACAAGTTTTCTATGAGGCCGTGGTGATAGTCCGGTCGAGTCTAATCAAAAACCGCCGCAGTTTGAAATGCCTGAAGAATTAATTAAAATGTCCGAATACGATTATTGCTAAGATAAATATGCTTTTATCATATTTTTTTGTATTTTGCAGACATTGACGTATAACAAAATAAATCAGATTGATATTTCAAGACCAATAAAGTGACCATAGCTTTTTACTTTTTTTTTTTAATTATACATCGAGTTTCAGGAGTGATGTTAAAAAAATGAGCGGACGACATTACAATTTTGATATATATATGTATATATACATTATATATTGTAAATTATGCAATTTTTTTCCTTTGTTATTTGTATAAACTTGCGACTAATAGTAGTAAAAATAACGTAGACAACAATCGCAGGTTTGATCAATTCCTTACAGTGCGACAAATCGTCGCATCGTGTCGCAGGTTTACACAAATAATTTACTACAACGGAATTGAATATTATCAAATGCCACTTCCTATAAGAAATTATAAAAATAATATCATTTTATACGTAGAAAAAAACATGGCGAAGGACATAATAATAATAATAATAATGACATACACAAAACAGTGTATAAGTACATCCTAAACATGATCTCGAGGCGATAGCTACCGATAAAGCTAAAAAAACGTATAAAACAATACACGTACACATTCCGTCGTTCCACTGTCAAATAAACACGTACGTGGAACGCTCCATCCTCCGTCTCTCTTCCACACACTATCCTTTATATCTCTGTCTCATTTGTTTTATTGTTTTACATATCACTAGGGGTCAAATAAACCCGTTTGGTAGTACGCAGTAAATGTTGCCTACATAAAAGGATTAAAAACTTTTTGTGTAAAGAGGGATGGGAGGAGTGAGCGCCCTCTGTACGAATATTTGTATATCTAAACACTTGCATGTCACTGGAGGTACAGTACAAAAGCATCACTTAAGTACGATTTTAAGTTAGCAGCCAAGGGGTTTTACTTTTTTTTTCATTTGTGAATTTGTAATTTTTTACACATCACCTATATAACAATATAAGTACTAAAATCACTAAGTACTTTTACAATCTGTCAAAACAAAACATTTAAAAAAATTACAAATTTACAAAGGAAAAAAATTACGTAATATAATATTAGACCATTGTTTTCGAGTAACTACCATTAAACAACACCATTTTATTGTCAAGCTTTTTTTTTAAAAAAAATAAAAGTACAAAGCGATAGAGCGGTGTCCACTATGGCAGCGAGAAAAAAAATCTAAGAAAAACGAAAAACCGTAATTAAAAATATCTTTTCTCATCCTTATCTAATATATACCTATACATACGCTAGTTTATATTTTACATGGATCCTTTGTCTTTGGGCCAAGACAACAAAAAAGTTTTTTTTATTCCCGCGTCGATTTTATATCGATATAAAACTATGTACTATACTCTAGTAATATACACACTTATACACTAAAAAGTCCGAAATATATGTCACTACGCACTGCTTTCTATCCGACTCCGAAATGTAGGTTACAATTTTAAGTTGGATTAAATAAATTCTTTGGATTTTTTTATTAATAATTGTGATTAGTGTAAAAATATCTGATGTTGATGGACGTGGCGACTGATTTCCTATGATGTAAGACAAATCCTAGAGTTGTCAGAGTAAAGGAAATTAGCATGGGAGTGGTGATTATAATGACAGCCCTAATTAAGTAATTTGGCTAAATCATACCTAATTACCATGTTTACAAAGTTATTATATATATATTATAATACAAAAAAAAAGATAAAAATATAATATTTTAGAAAAGAAATAATAAAAAAAAATAGTAGATACATTTGAAGGAATTACCCACAAAATATTATACTTAAACCTTTTTCATTAAACATCATTAATAAAATATATTTTATTAAATAAATTTACAAGAGCAATACTTTTAAATAAATGTATAGTCACCCGAAATGAAAAATAGAAAGTCAAGACTACACATTCATTTAAAATCGAAAAAATAAAAATAAAACGAATAACATACATTTTCATCAAAATAACCCTTAGGGGCGGTGATAATCTGAGGTCCCATCAAAACAGATATTTAAAACACCATTCACTACAATCACTGGTACTTCATGTGTCACAAATCGGCTTAAAGTGTGTACTTATAATTAAAAAAAAACTTACAATTAAGTAAAATGTTACTTTTTATGGCATTTCCTTACCGGGGAAGTCCGTGTCCCACTATCCCGTTCAACGGGGTTACAATATAAAAAAAAATGCAATATTTTACTATTATATTGACGTGTAGAAGAAATATTTTTCATGTGTAATATTGTGTATATTATAATAATTATATAAATAACGTAGTGTATAATATACAAGCTGTTATATTTAAATTTAATTCGATTCATAAATAGTTTACCATGCAAAATTTGAATGCATGCTGAATTAAAATCACTAAGCCATTATTAAATAATCAACTGTTGTGTATATTAGTTTCGTTATAGTAACAACATGTATAATATACAACGGTACAATTAAATAACATCTGTAGATGTTTTACATTTTATTAAAAGCCTGGGTATTATTTATTTTAATAAATAGAAAATAAAACCTAATTAAACTAGTTAAATACAAGTGTTTGTTTAGAAAATAAGGCAAAAAATAAAAATATTTTTTCCACACGTAAAACTAGTAAATATACGTAATAAGTGTAAATGTTACATAGTGTAACTGTTATTTACTGTAGTGTTACGTAGGTGTGTAACAGTTATATTGTAGTGTGTGTGGTGTGGTGTTGCAGTGCGAGTGTGTGCTAGCTGTGGGGGAGGGCTAGCGCGCGCGTCGCTATTGGGGGGGCGCGCCCGTCGGCGGCTGGCCCGGGAGCTGGCCCATGCCCTGCGTAAGGAAACAAGCACATTAGTATTTAACTTACTGTAAATAAGTCACAAAGCGGTTCTCTTTGAAGACCACCTAAGGTCCTAGTGTGAGTTTGTTTCCCATCAACTCAATCGTCACGGTGACCGCATTCAGCGTTGCGATTTAGGCCCGCTCAGAACTCTTGACCAATCGCAACGCCGCACGCGCTCGCCTCGCTCGCTTGATGTGAAATAAACTCACACTAGGCTTTGTGTTCTGGACTACGCAGGACAACATTACTGCAAAGAGAATGAAAACTTGACACAAACCCTATACCAACCCGTCTGGATAGCGTGGTATAGTAGGCCAAAACCTCCTTTCTAAGGAGAGGCCTATGTCCAGCAGTGGACTATTACAGACTGTTGATGTGTGTTCTTGGAAATGTCATAATTTTTTTACAATTAAAAAATTATCAAAATTTAATTTGTAAGAAAATAATATATTTAATTTTGCAGGTATAGCAATGTTGTTGATATCACCATTGATGACCTATATTACTATACCGCCAGTCTATTGAATGTGAATTTATGTTAGTAGAATACTGAAATTTTGACCGATGTCAATGGCGTCTCAACAGCGCGTCAATGGAATGACAGTAGCTTGGCGTTAACATAAAATAGCAAAATTGAGGCCCTGATCTGTTGTCTGTTACTGTACCTATAAAATAAAATAATGGGTGTGAATAGTTACCGGCATGGGTTGATAGTGTTGTAGCGGCGCTGGCAGCAGTTTGGGCGCTTCTTCTGCTTTCTCCTCCTCGCGGCGTTTCAAACACGCCGCTTTCGGATTTAAGTTACGTTCTGTAACAAAAATATATTATTTTATAAATATAAATAATTTGACACACGCCCATCTGATACAAAACTAAGCAGAGCCTGTACTATGGTAACCAGAGTGCTGATAAACATACATACTTATATTACTAAATAAATACATTCATACTAATCCATACTAATATTGTGAATGCGAAAGTGTCTGTCTGCCTGTTACCTCTTCACGCTTAAACCGCTGAACCGATTTCGATGAAATTTGGTACGGAGATACTTTGATTCTTGAGGAAAGACATAGGCTACTTTTTACCGCAGGCAAAAGCTGGTATATAATATATACAACTATCGTGTTCATCACACAATTATTTGTCCTGGGAGCGAAGCCAGGACCTATGCGTTGTCAGTTAGGATTACTAACCACTAGGCCATAGGATTCTTATCCTATTTCAACATGGGCAACGTTTATTTTTACAACAAAAAATAACAAAAATTAGCTAACTAGCCAATTAGCTTTTGACCTTAGAGACCCTTTTATGTCTTTATCAAAATTGATGAAAATTGTTCTAGCAGTTTAGGCCTGACAACGCAGTACAGTACAAAGGCATTACTTAAGTAAGATTTTAAGTTAGCAGCCAAGAGTTTTACTTCTTCTTAATGTTTTACACATGTTTTACACATGTTGTAATCTTTTACACATCACCTATATAACAATTTAAGTACTAAAATCACTAAGTACTTTTAAAATCTGTCAAAACAAAATATTAAAAAAAAAAAAAAATTTACAACAGAAAATATACGATATATCTGAGTCTTTTAACTTCAAACTCGGATAAATCAAGTTCTGAGAATTTACAAAATTTTGTTATCAAAAGAAAGGGTAAAAACAAGTTTTAAAACTACTCTGTCAGTTGTGTATTAATCCTCAAGCTTCTTGAGAAAAAAATACCTTACTAAAAAACCTGATTTTTCTGTCCTTCTTTCTCTGTTTTCCACTGTTATCGAGAAACTACCATTGAAAACCAAAATACAGTAAAAACCACCAATAAAAGTATGTATGTAAGTATGGCAATTAAAAATTAATATTTTTTTTTATGTCAGAGGGGGCAGACGAGCAGACGGGTCACATGATAGAAAGTGACCATCGCCGCCCATTAACGTCTGCAACTTAGAAGTCACAAACGCGTTGCCGGCCTTTTAGGAAGGATTAGGCTCTTTTCTTGAAGGTTTGATAAGAAAATAGACAGACATATCTCGTATCTTCGCATTTACAATATACCAGTATAAACATATTCATCAGCTCACCTCTAACTTGTTGCTCCAACGTCATGATGACCTCCACGGCCATGTTGAGGATGCCAAGCTTGGTCTGCGGCTTGTCGCTCTTCAGATGGGTCATGCACATCCGACCTAGTTCCTTTAGCGCTTCGTTTATATCGCGTATTCTTATCCTGGACAGGTAATAGTTAAACTTAGATTAAAGTTGATAAGAGCCTTGCCTTGGTCAGGTCGCACTAAGTCTGAGTAAGTAAGTTTTTGGTAATCAAATTATATTCTGCATATCATCATCAGCCTATCGCAGTCCACTGCTGGACATAGGCCTCTCCCATTGCATATACTAGTCTTTTAATATTCGTAGCCATGATTTATAATTAAGTATGTGTACGGGAGTTAACGTTATTACATAAAATGAAAGAGAGAAGGAAAATTTGAAACAAACCCGATACCAAGCCGTCTTTTCTAAGGAGAAGCCTGTGTCCAGCAGTGGACTTTTAAATGCTGTTGATGACGTAATAAGTATTACATAACATGTCATTCATGAGCCAGTGGTCAGACAGCAAGTGACCACAACCAGAACCAACCTGAAGTTCAATTTTCATAATAAAAAATCGTTCATAATTCAATTCCGATCTACTGTCGATCTCATAAATTTCATAAAAGGTATTCTCTTAGTAAAGTATTATTAAAAGTAGTAGAATACCGATTCAACTCTCGGTCACAATACGATAGCATCACATTATAGTCAACGTTGGATGTTTATTATTTATTTATTTATTGGCGGACTTAATGCCTAAGGCATTCTCTACCAGTCAACCTTTGGGTGATGCAGAGAAAACAGAAAGTACACAGGTGCATTTTAGTTACAGTTGATTTAGACATTTTATGTTACATGTATACTTTGTACAAAATCATATAATATATACACATATACAAATCTGTCATACACTACACATATACATATTAATATTACACATAAGTACATGTGTTTAATATTTGACTACGAGAATACCTTTTATAACATTTGTGAGATCGAGAGTAAATCGGTATTGTATTTATTTTTTTACAAATTTCTATTACGAGAATTGACCTTCTGGTGGAAACATCAGGAAATGCAAATGTATTTTCTATTTCCGTACATATACATAATTATATACCTATATTATTACTGTTAATAAAAAAGCATTGGTGGGCTCCCTATTTTTCAGACTTAGTGCACTCCTGGGTACGACAGCATTTATTGGTATACATTAGCCCATTAATGTTACTTTGGTCCAAATTGCCATACCCTTAAACGTCTTGCTACAATACATACGCACATCTGATTATCACAAAACTGTTTTTCTGATAGACCTATATATTAATGTATAGCTTCCTATCAAAAATAGGTAAATAACTCTAAATTTATTAGAAGGTTTGATACTTTCTGAATGGTTTGGGTTAAAGTATGATGAGCCAATGTATTCCGAGCTGTATATATATTTATATAAAGACATAAATTGATACAAATAACAAATGCTCACAATATATGACGCTATTTCACGATGAAATAAAATCATGTTTATAATCTATGAAAGTAAAGTCTTGAAAAACAGTGCCAAGTGTATAAAAAAACGCTGGACATAAGAGCAGGGCAAAAGAACGCCGGTTATATCAGTCGGGTAAAAGAACGCCTGTTATATCAGTCGGGTAAAAGAACGCCGGTTATATCAGTGGGGTAAAAGAACGCCGGTTATATCAGTCGGGTAAAGGAACGCCGGTTATATCAGTCGAGTAAAAGACCGCCGGTTATATCAGTCGGGTAAAAGAACGCCAGTTATATAAGTGGAGTAAAAGGACGAGGGTAATAATAAGTCGTACAATAGACTAAGTTGTATAACGAAATATGTGGCATGACAGCTAAGTGGTCACAAAAAGAGGATTCAAAGAGTCGCTTGAAATAAAAAGTTATCTCTATCGGCCAGGAATATGCTGGCGAACAGTTTCATATCAAACACTGAGATGTAGAGAATATCACATTTAAAATGACATTTCGAATTAAATGTAATGAATATTTACAAATAGTATTTTAACGACTAGACTTGAGAGAACAAAACAAGTATCTGACGGAGACGCAATAAACTTGAAGGTGGACTTAACTTTTTAATCAAAAAAAAAAGAAATATTATGATCATATTCAAAAAGGAATCTGTAATTACAATATAGCGACTTTACTGTAGAATTTGTTTCGTTTTGTATCAATTTATCACCTTCAACCACCATTAATATCATATATCTATAAATCTTTGCCTAATTTATAGTGCCAATATCACAAAAACATAAAAATTTTGTTTGTTAAACAAATACACAAAAAACATATATCAACATGGGTCACAGTGTGTTTGAAAATCTGGAATAAAATTAGAACTATTAATACCAATGTAACATTCATAATATATAAACATTTATAACATCGAAGCAATAAAATAAATAAATATATACTGGATATAACCAGTGATCTACAAGCACCTTAATAAAGGTCTAAGCAGACTAGGCTCGTCTTGGGTTGCAATTGCGATTCTCGCTCCCCCGGCAATTGGCAAGAAGGGAAACGACAGGGTGGTTTTTAGTCGGACAGACCCGTTCGCCACCCCCTAATGTGCGAAGGAAATCCATGAGGATCTTCCACCCCGTTAACAAAAAATGACCAGGCTGTGTCTACATTTATATAATATTACTAATAAGTCAATAATTTCGAAGAATTTAGGTTCAATAATAATCATAAAATGGTGCAGATACACATTTGAAAAAAATATCGTTTTAATTTTTGTTCCTCTCTCTTGTTCTTCTTCTATCAACTCTTACCTCTCCCTCGCGTTATTGGCCTGCCGCCGCTCCTTCTCCCTCACGGCCTTCGCTTGGGGATCCGTCTCGTCGTCGCCCTCGTCCGCTGATGAGCAACTGATACCCAACATGTTTTTTAGGACTTGTTTTTAGGAACTACTCATACGTTGACAGATAATTGAAAATTCCGTCATTGTCAAAGTATATTGGGTATTTATAAGTTTCTAAATAGAATAAATTATGGCTTAAGGATTAGATTTGCTAAACATGGAAGGATTAGATATATTTACAAGAAAAATTACCGCGTGGTGACGGATTAAGAATACAGAGGTGTCACCACCCCTATTCATCCCGTGGGTGTCGTAAGAAGCGACTAAGGGAAAAAAACTAGGCAGGATAACAGCACTGCAGAGAGAAGGAAAACTTGACACAAACCCTATACCAACCCGTCTGGCTAGCGTGGTATAGTATAGGCCAAAACCTCCTTTCTGAGGAGAGGCCTATGTCCAGCAGTGGACTATTAAAGGCTGTTGATGATGATGATGACAAGAAAAATTTAGAGCTGAAAGCATTTTTTTTTCTTTTGCAAAATTAGAATATATCCTATATCGCGGGACACAAAGAACATCGTGACTCAAAACAACAATTTGTGGATCACACAAAGTGTTGTCCTGTTTGGGGATCGAACCCACAACACTCACTAGGAAGCGGTGAGGTGACCGCTTTAACCACTACGCCATCCGTGCGGTCAATTTTTAACACATGAATTGGTTAATGGCTTGGAAACCTATTCTCTTGCGATGGATCTCAAACAACACCAAAATAACTGTTATATAGTGATTTCTAAACCTTCAATGTTTATAACAAACAAATGAATTCTTTGACAACATCAGAGTTTTCAACCAATTACTCCGAGTTCGGGCCGGAATTCGACGACGGATCCAATAGATAAAGAATTACCTTTACGAAGGTAGTGCGTGAGAGAGAGCTGCTTTCTGATTTATAAATAGAATAATCTGAACCTTAATGCACTATAATAAAACTTAAGACTTTTTGTTTAACGACCTAACCTCAAAAACCTATGTTTACCTCAAAAACATAGTCCGATTTGAAGTTCACTTTTTTGGGCTTCTGATATACCAATTCCCGAGAAAGTTTATGTGCTATTTATGACCAAGCTTAGATCCTAAATAGCTGATTAACGATTAATTAATGCAGGATAATTATGATAGATAGTAATTCAAATTAATCGAGCTTTTTGACTAGAAGTTCAACTGCCAAATTAAGCTGTTAGAAAGTTTTGATGAACGGTATGATATTAGTATGTCCCATGGAAGCACAGGTTAAGGTGTTGAGCACCATAAGGTGGTAAGACATCGTATTTGCTAAGAACCGCCCGATTATTGACGATCTAAATGTCCAAACTATAGAAATTCCATGGGATAAGTCACAATTTATAGAAAAACAATCACTCAAAAAGTCTTCAAACGAAATGAAATCTTAAAGCTATATTATACGGCATATGTTGTATTGCTTGAGCTTTGTATGTATTGAGATTTTATTACCTTTAGTCTTTGCACAATTTAAATGTACACACAAAGTATGGCCCCTCTTCAGTGGGAAATTTAGACACTCTAATAAAGCGATTCCTTCCTTTACTTATAAATGTTTTGAGCGGAAACGTTTTTATTCACAGATTACATAAATTAAAATGACCAAATTATCCGTTTTCATATTAAAATGAAATAATTTGAATAGTTGTAACGAAAAAAGAAATCCTTTTTAGGAATTTGTAATTTTAGGAAGGTATTTTTTCTTTTAATAATATTATTACTATTCATTATTTTATAATTATGAATTTATACTTAATTTTGGCCATTTTGTGGATTGCCCAATTTCTGCACTACATGATCCATTTCTAAGGAGAGGCCTATGTCCAGCAGAGGACTGTTACAGGCTGTTGATGATGATCTTCCATTTTAGTATTTAGGATTTCTCGTAAAGCTCAAACAACTCAGTCCAATATCAGTTGCAATGATAAGCTCCCATTTTTTACGTTAATAAGCATATGATTGTGTATTAATGATTTGTTAAAATTATAATTATAAGTTTACAGCTCTAGACCAACATTAACAATTCCTAGTATGATGTGGGATCAAGCGATTGTTGTATTTGTACATTTACTGCGTTTGTATCTATTACACTCAAACATTTGAGAAGTGAGAATAATATTTGATAAGTTTTTTTTTATGGAATAGGGGGCAAACGAGAAGACGGGTCGCCTGATAGAAAGCGACTACCGTCGCCCATGAACGTCTGCAACTCAGGAGTCACAAGCGCGTTGCCGGCCTTTCAGGAAGGAGTCCGCTCTTTTCTTAAAGGTTTGAAGGTCGTATCGGTCCGGAAATACCGCAGCCGATAACTTGTTCCACAGATTGGTAGTGCGAGGCAAAAAGTGTCTTGAAAAGCGCACAGTGGTGGAGTGCCAATTATCCAAGGGGATGAAAATTTTGCCGTGTGGAACGATGGCGAAGTTTGCGGCTGAACAATTCCTCGGAGCACTCTCCATGATATATACCATAGAGAATCAAAGCGAAGCTACATCTCTACGTAACGCAACTATAACTGTTGAGCTTACAACAACAAACATTGATTTTTGTTTGTTTAAATGAGTTAGTCTCTGCTGGAACTATCAGTCATATGTGTATTTTATGTATATTTGTATTTTTTGTGTTAGATAGATTATTCACCGAACAAGGTTATATACACATCACGCCACGACCCTTGAAAGCGAAGCACAGATGATAAACGCAAATGATGAATTACAAAGGTACCCAAGCTTAACATTATTTTGATTTATAATTCCATTTAGACTGCTATGGTTTATGAATGAGAGAAATGAAATGATATAGAAAGCTGATCCATGATGTAGAAATGACTAATGTGATTTATTTGTAATATGGATAATCCTTTTTGTTTATGTTGTTAAATGAGATAACAAAACACATACACACATAATGTCCCCATTTGGACTGAGACCACTTATGCATATTTTCACAATGAGGGTTTTCGATACTTTTTCTGCCACCAGACGGCGCTTCGTATGCGTCAGGTCCAAACAGCTGTCAGATAGCACAGATTCTTATCGAACGTATAATTTTTAAGTGAAATTCTATATATTTGGAAGTGTTATTGAGTTTATTATGGATTACGGCCAGAGAAAGGTTGCCGAACTGAAGATTGAGCTCAAAAAGAGAGGCGCAAAAGTTTTATTTGCACACATAGGCACTGCACAACACTGTGGCATTTTAGAAAACAATATTCCTTTTGTAACGTTTTTAAGAATGAATAAACCAAAAAAATGATCGAAAAATACAAATCATGTATGTGTTTTGACAGGTGGTTGGACCTGACGCTACAGTGCTGCCATCTCACGTGGAACATTTCAGAAAACCCTCATTCAGTACGGAGTTATGGACATAAGTTTAAAGAGTACATGTATCTCATGAACATCAATGATGATCAATGATGTTTATTTGCATTCAACCATTAATGGTTTATTTAATATAATGGCAACATTTAACTTGAAATGGAAACTGTCATTGATTCAAGTTTTAGTCCTTGTAAGATTTAATTTCAAACCCTAAGTTTAATAGAAGACATTCAGGGTTGAAGGATCACATTAAAAAAACAATATTTTTTAACATTTGAAATAATGAAACGAACGTCTAAACATGAACATGAATTCTCCTTTAAAATTCACACAGTAAATAAATTGCTACACTATTTTTCGATGGTATAGTATGGTACAGAGAGCTGATGAGTCATTTAATGGTAAGTACCACTACCACCATACATAGAAAAGTGCAACTCAAAAGTTACAAAGACGTTGTCGCCCAGTCCTCGCCCTCAAATTAAGGGAGGGGTATTTGAGTCTCCGCTAAACTCAGTCTCTCTGTGAAAAGCAACTGAAGATTTGCTTAACACCGGTTTTATGTGAGGCCGTGGTAACAGTGTGTGGTGACGGATTAAGAATACAGACTGTCACCCACCCAATTCATCCCGTGGGTGTCGTCAAAACCTCCTGTCTAAGGAGAGGCCTGTGTCCAGCGGTGGAATATTAAAGGCTGTTGATGTGGTACCATGGTCGAGCATGGCTCTCCCAAGACATTTTTTTTAATTATTAAATCCTATATATTGTTAATAAGCCAATATAAAAATACAGCCGCAATTTTTTCCACAAAAAAGATGTAATCACTTACCTGACACCTACAAGAAACACACAAATATGAACTTTATATAAACACAGATAGAGTATAGAATGATACAATAGAGTTTTCAACACACTGTGACCCTGTTGTTAGCAATGGTGAAGCTGAAACTATAACACAGGTTAGTACAGAATATATATATACCGTGATATGTGCAACACTTGCCGTGGTCAACAATTACGTATACCACTTTTTATGGAGTCGGATAAGAAAAAATCGCCTTAAAAAAAATTTGATTCAAAAATTTAAAAATTAAGTTACCGATTTAATTTTTCTGGTTTCAATAGAGGAGATTCCTCATCTGCCTACCCTTATACAAATTTTATTTGGGGTCGTCGCAGTAAGTACGATTCTTCCATTCTACTCTATCTCCCTCTTTACTCCCTTCCTAGCCATATCCTCACTTACACAGTCCATCCACCTTTTCTTCGCCTTCCTCTTGTCTTGTACCCTTCAACTCCCATACCTAACACTTTCTTCGCCATATTTTCCTCATCCCTCCGCATGACTAGATTAGAATCGAGTATATTTATATGTTTCAAATAATTTATTGTGCGTGAATCATTGAATCTAACATATTAAAGTACTGCATGATTTGTCCTCACTGAATCAACATTCAATGTAAATGATATGACAACAGGTGGATGTGACGTCATACCATAGTTTTTCGTACAACAACTTTACATATAAGGATAATCAATTTTTTTTATTTGATTCGACTTCAAATAATAATTTCTAACAACAAAGAACACTAAAAACCTAGCAGCAATCGCGGTTGTTGTGCTGTCATTTTTTGAAGAGTTCCGTTGTCTGTCTCCGAAACTAGTCATCAGATCTATATTAAATTTAAATGGGACCATTTCGGAATAAACCCCTTTCGAACAAAAAATAATTTTAAAAAAAGAACATCCGAATTGATAACCTCCACCTTTTTGAAGTCGGTTAAAATATGTTTAATGCGATTTTTTCTTTATTACAAAGCCTTTAGAATACTTTAAAAGATTAAAGCGTTGATATATTGTTCACCACGGCAACAAGAAAATGCTTAAGATGGAAAATTAGACAAAGACATTATGATCTTTAAAGTTAAATAATTATTTAATTTCAACTGTCTTTAATAAAAAAAACAAATTTATTGGCTTGAAAAAAATCGCCTACTGACACGTTGAATCGTATTTATAGTAACGTGAACACAATAAGAGATACGAGTGAGAGAAGTTAAAGTCAGTTTACAGTGAAATTTCTCTATCGTGATGCAGAAACATCAGCGACATCTAGCGATAGTCGAAGCGCATCTCAAAGCATGTGTTTTCACCATAAACTGACGTCACTACTCTCCTCTTTTGGGGGGGTAGGGGGGGTATAAGAGCCCGTATATCGCACCTCTCTCTAACATTGTTGGCCTGTCGTCGCTCTCTCTCTCTCGCCGCCTTCGTGTCTGGATCCAGGTCGTCCTCATCCGCCGACGAACAACTATACACCACATATTTCAAAAATGATATGCTCACAGTTAACATATCACGGTCACTGTGATAAGCGTGATATGTGTATTCATACATACTGACGCATTGATAATAAGATTTTTTTTTTAAATATATATTTATACTTTTTATTGTATACACATATCTTCTATATTCAATGAAAAGTTTTTTTGGGTGTGTGTATTTTCTTATGGTATAGAGGGGAAGGGGGGGAGGAGCAGACGGGTCACCTGATGGTAAGTGACTACCGCGCCGCTCATGCAACTCAAAAGTCACAGATCGTAACATATTTTTTGGATAATACAGATATTGAATTTGAATTAATTAATTTGATTAACCTCCTTTCTAAGGAGAGGCTTATGTCCAGCAGTGGACTATTAAAGGCTGTTGATGTGATGAATTTGATTATTAAACTTGAATATAATTCATACAACACACCCGTAAACCAACGGTTTTGGTTTTAAAGAGAATCTATGATAGAAAGTGGGTGGATTTGTGTGTTTATGTGTAAGCATGTGTGTGTGTGTGTGTGTATATAAGTATGTGCGGATGTGTGTAAGTATTTGTGTGTGTAAATATGGGTGTGTATATGTGTGTGAGTGTGTGTGTATGTATGTTGTGTGTGTGTATGTATGCGTGTGTAAAGCACGATAACTCACTATCTCCGGGAGCGCTTGGAGCTGGGCGCCTTGTTGGCGAGCGCGTCGGCCGAGCCCGACGAGGACGGCTTCGAGTCCAGCCCCGAGTCCGGCGGCTCCTTGCGCTTCTCTGCAACACAAGCATTGCGCACTTGCTCACCACGCTTACCCACTTGTGTCAAGGAACTCCCGTGGGGACTCACTAAACGGGTCACGAATGAAGAAACTTTAATAAATAATCATCACTATTTTTCTGAACATCTTATAATTTTATTTGGTATCTCTGTAATGTGGAACATTCCGACACTCCTTGACAATGTAATCATCATTGAAGACAGTATAGAAAAACAGAAGATGTCTTCTTCGCAAAGATGTATTTCTTAACGAGCAGATGAGTCAGCTGATGGTAGGGGAATGCCACCACCACCGTGCGGAGGCCGTGGCATGACTCCGGTCGTAACGGCCCGGTTGTGCCGAAGCAAGACTCTCCCACGTTAGATAATAAGAGAAGTAAAAAGTAAGATCTGACTTGAGCTTTTAAGAAATGGTATAACACTTAAATGCGTATATAGATATATTTAATACATACTCGTATTGGGCAATACGTGTCTCTCCATTTTGATGGGGGGCTCTGAGTGCAGGGGGAGACCTCCGCCCACCGCCAGCCGAGACACTGGAAGTATTAATTTACAGCAATAGAGTACAACTCCTGGAATGTAGTACCTCTAAAATCATTCAAACTTATATTCGTGAGATTTTGAGATCTGAACTCGCCCATTTGCGTTGTGCGTATCGCGTGCGGTCTTATATTTTCGCGTTATATTTATAAGGTAAGGTCTGAAGGTAGGGTCTGATTAGTCACATGGTCGGTGTCATCCCAGAGTAGGTTTTAAGAGGAATCACTACATATTCCTGAGTTCCCAAGGCGCAGGACATCTAAAGGAATTTTTCACCTCGTCAACAACAAAAAAAGGTGAGATCTGATCCCACCACCACAAGCAAGCCATTGCCAACATATAGTTACGTATAACAGATGACTAGAACTTTTTCAATTTATTCTAAAAAGACAACTCCCACACTAGAAATATAGGATATATTATTAGTGTCTTTTCACACAAAATGTCACACATTTATGAAATGGACACAAAGAACACCCAGACAGACCCAATAATTTGTAGATCACACACACTGCTCTCCCCTGTGGGGATCGAACCCACAACACTCAGCGCAGCAGGAAGCGGCGAGGTGACCGTTTAAACCACTACACCATATGTGTAGTCACACTCCATACCTTGTGGTGGCGGGTGCGGGTGGTGCATGTCCTGCGGGTAGAGGTCGGGCGCCTCCGCGTGGTTGCGGAGCACGTTGATGGCGTCGTCCAGCCTCTCCTCCATACGAGCACCCTGCGCACACCATCATTCTATTAAATCACTAGCACCCCTTCCATCTCAACTTCTTGATTATCTCTTAAGCGTGTCCAGTTTATATTATCTCATATCTGAAGAAGAGGAACTACGGGAATCGAACCCACATGCAGTTCGCACTTAAGGCAACAAGTGCTGTACATGTTCTTGTGTGTACAAAGCGGCACTAATTTTCACAGTAGCACTAACGCTTAACGGTAACCAGTTACCATTAAGCGGTTCATTTACATAATATTTTTCTTTTTTTATTAGACAACTCCCAAAGACTCATTAGGAATATATCCAGTGTCGCGGGGGACTATACAAACATACATGAAACGGACACTAAGAACACCCAGACTCAGAACAACAATTCGTGGATCACACAAAGTGTCGTTCCATGATGGGATCGAACCCACAACACTCAGCGTAGTAGTAAGCGGCGTGGCGACCGCCTAAACCGCTAGCTATCCGTGCAGTCAATAATATAATATATATTAATGGTTAAACAAAAGTTACCTATCTATCTGGACATTACAGGACTTAACCAATCAGTGAAATATTCATGTCAAGATCAGCATAACAGCGCTTAGAAAATAAGTTTTCGTATACTAATATTACTTAAAATTTACATTTTACGGAGAAATACTTCAACACAAAATTAGTAAGTAATAAAAACACTAAAAAATTCACATACAAACGCAAAAGAAATGACACAACAGCTAATCACATGCCACATAAAACTATTTACACAAATTATAATCAAATGTTCACTCATACACACAGATACACACATTATAAAGAAGATTATAATCTGACAGTATTTAACTAAAAAGCCAACTTTTTTTATAATTTTGTATGATCACGCATCACGTCACGTCTTAATACGACACGATATTTTAATTTACATATACAATACGATACGAGGCTAAATCTGTAGTAACATCACTATTTAGCATACTAATATTTCGCGTCACTAACATGGATTGCACTATGGCAACACTACATCCTTATTCATTGTTCATCTATCTGTGATATTGTAGACTGTAACTGTCTGTAATGTGCTGAAGTGAATAACAATACTTCAGGTTAATATAATAAACCGTCAAACGCAAACTACGCAGGACAACAGCTCTGCAAAGAGAGATAAATACCAACCCGTCTTGGCCCTAAACCTCCTTTCTAAGGAGAGGCCTATCTAACGCAGTGAAAACCCTCTAAATGATGAAATCCAGATACAATGCTAGTCAATTTTGCTAGTCAAGTTAATATTTGGACGGTTTTGAATGAAAAAAAAAAAGTACCATACGTAAATGTTTTGCCGGTAAATGACCGGAAAAATATTTATTTGCTAATCAATTACTGCAACTATGTGTGAATAGTTGAGTATATTATTATTTATTCTAATTTAATACTATTATATTTTACTTCTTTAAAGTATAATTATTGCATAGGCCGATTTACGTCCATCACTCATTAAAAGGTCTGGTTGAAAACCAGCGCTTGACATCTGTCAAGCAGACGCTGAACCAGGTCCTCCTTGACTGGCACGTGAGGAACCTACACGTAAAAATGTATTTTCGCTTAAGCCTTGTATTAAGTTTCCCTTATATTGTGTGTATGTTATTACGTTCCAGAATAAATTGTTTTTCTTTCTTTCTCTTTTCTTTAAACTACAAGTTTATTTATTCCAAATAATAATCCTAATATTTATAATATAATAGTTCTATAAGATTTCTGTCACCGTAACGTTATTAAACAAGTAAGATGAAAACATCTATCCGTAAATATACCTCACTATAGAGTCGCAATATTTACTAGTATTGTGACGTCATCTTACATAATTATAAAAACAGGGATTGTTTAGTTGTTGGAACGTAAGAACATTTGATTATAACAATACAATATATTTGTAATAATTCGCTGGTATATACTGCAAATAGTATGTATATACACTTATATTATTCTATGTATTTATGATATTGATACTTTGGCTGAAAGAGATCGTTCGGAATCTAATACTATAAACAAGGTAGCCGAGGTGTAACTCTCACTGACCATTATAACTACAGGGGCTTTAGCTGTGGGGATATGTGACAGTATCAATCCGACTAAAACCACTCAGTTTGTCATACTATAACATATATATGAGAGGTCCAGAAAATGCTTAGAAGGTGTAAAACTGTTTTATGAAAAAACATTTTTTTTAAACCAAGCGAGACCTTACAGTAGTCGTCGACAGCCAACTCAAGGAATCACATCACATCATCAACAGCCTTTAATAGTCCACTGCTGGACATAGCCCTTTCCTTAGAAAGGTTTGGCTTACTATACCATGCTGGCCAGACGGGTTGGTATAGGGTTTGTGTCAAGTTTTCCGTCTTTTTGCAGTGCTGATGTCCTGCGTTGCTTTGTGCCCTTAGTCGGCTCTTACGACACCCACGGGATGAATTTGGATAGTGACATTCCGTATTCTTAATCCGTCACTACACGAAATGCATACATTAATTAGTCAAATTAAATGATACATACTGTTATTCGTTACGCGAGTTATTTGGTTACTTCTTAGACACATGAAAAGACATATTTTATGTAATAAAACCAAAATAATGTAATAATCGCGATCTCTTTCAGACAATCATACCTTTATATTTGGCATATACGTATATATTACCCGCAGTATATATCAACCACGACTATGGTATACTCACAACATCGTTATGTTCTCGAAGGAACACCATGGCCTCGTCCAGTTGTCTCTGCTCGGCTCCCCCACCCTACACGGAACCGCGTTACAGCTTGCGCACAGAGAGGACTGAACACCACTCTTATATAAACGCGTCGTCTTTATCTGTTTGTCTGTCTGAATGTATGTGAGTAGGCGTGCCTATTTGATTTTTTTTTAATTTAAGAATTATTTTTGATTACTTAACTATAAGAATGCGCAAGCGCAGTCGTGTAATGCTAATACTCCTATACACACGGTAAATTTGTATATTTTTCGGAAGTTTTTTTTTCAGTTTCAAAATAGCCAGTTAACTGTTTTTTGTTTCAGATTAGGTATTACAGTAGTATTTTATTAATAATATAACATCCCCCATTTTACTATACTTTATTTTAGTCTCCAATACGGTAAAGAGGAAAAAGTTCGCATAGACGATAATAATATTTATCTTACAAATGAATTGAGATTCTAGTAGTAGTCGTAGTAGTCGTAGGAACTAAGAGGCTTTATTTAAAAACAAGAATTTCAAAATCTAATCAACAACATCTAAAAAAGATCACTAGATCATCAAACTACATCTACAAATACGTATGAAATACAAAAACGTTACTGTACAATATTTAGGTAACAACTATTAACTAATAAAAGATAACAGGTAGTAGATAGGTATGTAATGGCATATCAGTCCTCACTGTTCGCAAACTATTAAACACAACATTAAAAACACAAAAGAATAATGTACACTGAAATATGACACAATTTTTTTTTAAAACAACATGTCACTCTTTGAACAGAACTTAGTTAAAAGTAGACTCTTAACTCTTAATATTAGATAAATCTTCTATATACCGCTATTTAAACATTTGCAGTCACCAATGGAGGTTTTTAATAATATGAATTTAAGAAATTTAATTATCATGTCGATGTCACTTATTGACTGACATGCAAAGCGATAACCAATTATTTTTTATACCTTACTAAAAATTCGAGAATATTTCAAAGTTGTATCATATTTCCTAATTATTAAATTAAAAAGAAAATCCAAAAGCTTTTATAATTTTAACTATGTTCAAAATTAATTTAGAAAAAAATAAAATTAGTTACAATCATGCTAAAAATACATGCTGATAAATTTGGAAAAGTATCTGTAAATAAAGTTTTGGTAGTTGCTTGTCAAAAGTATTTGGAAATCCACACTGATCACGTCAAAAAACACAACTGTCCAAGCAATTACCAAATTAATATGTCGTGGAGAGTCCATACAAAAAGATTTATTTGGAGCGCCTTATTATGTCAACAGTAAAATAGATTATGGAAACTTTAAAATGTAATATAGCTTCGAATAAAAGCAGATTTTACATTTTGGTTCCTTTATTATTGACGATCTAATAATGTACTACACGTCAGTGTAGTACATTATTAGATCGTCAATAGAAGCATGACTTTTCTGAGGCAAATCTACCGGCCTATATCACCAACTTACCATAACAGCACTATTGAACACGGGCATGGGCTGATGGTGTCCGTTTGGTAGCACTGCAGCGGGTATAGGAGCGTGTGGTGTCGACGCTGAAGGGGGAGATGACACACCAGAGGAGACCCAGTTTGATTGCTGTAATTATGCGTTTACAAATTAGTAACATTTAAAACTAAGTCATCAATATAAACAGTTTTCTTTTCTATATCATGTACTATGTTTCAACTGTAAATATCTAAATGTGATTGATTTCAATTTCTTTTTAGTATATCTCAAAGCTATTATTTAAATTATACTTTTAAAAAAAATTGATCATATCACATCTAATATTTTTCGACAGTTACTTGGCGACATCCTGTCAATAGATCAAGATCGTAAACTACTTTTTTAAATTGAAATAAAAACAAAATCCTCTAAAACCCGGGATTATAACTCTGATACAGCACTAACTACATATATATTTATATATAGTTAGTGCTTTGATTTTTTTCTTTTCTTTTGGTACTGTTATTTTGCTTATAAATTATTAGTATGCAAAATAAAAGTACTTTCCCTATGCAAAAGATATACACGGTGTAAGGGACGTCGTAACGAATACTGAATACACTATTATTCAGACCATCATTCTGAGTCGAAAATCATTGAAATTTTCTGCCAGAAAATTAAACTTTTCATGCAATCAGCTGTCAAAGGTTAAGGTCATTCCTCGTAGGTATCGCACAAAATGGCGGCCGGAGGGGAGGCCCCGCGCGCTTTGTCTGTTTGATTAATTACATTGCAGTTTTTTGGTATTTTTTTAAATTTTTTTCGGTAAAATGTCATGTCTACTCATTGTGATATCATTATTCATTCATTTTAACCAGAAAATGGAAAATTAAAAAAAATGATGAAAATTTCAATGATTTTGGACTTAAAATCATGGTCTGAATACACTATTTCAGTATTCGGTACGATGTCCCTTACACCTTGTATATCTTTTGCATAGGGAAAGTACTTTTATTTTGCTTAATAATAATTTTCTGACTGTAACAATTGGTTCTAAAAGTAGCGTACCTGTCCATTATGATGATGTACATGAAGTTGCGTGTGCGTGTGCGCGGGTGAGTGCTTAAGTGGTGCAGGTGGGCCGGGAGGTGCAGGGTACAAGCGCGCATGGAGCGGTGGCGGCGAGTGTACAGGCGTTGAGGGCGACGAGCCATACGACGATAAACTACCAGCTTCCGCTGCTCCCACTGTTGGGGTACTCGCGGACCCTCCATATATCTGGAAATCATATGGACCTTATTCAATCACTTGATTAGGGAACCAGTATTTTATTTCTAAGAACCTCAACGACAATCGGCATTTTAACATTTATGTTTCCGTCCTAACAGGAATCCATGTTGTGCATATGTATAGTGCTGTCGGGTTCTGTGCGGGTTCTTTTCCAATGCACTTTCTTTTAGTCGATAAGCTGGACAATAATAATCACACTGGTTTATTATGCCAATGTTATTTTTACATTATCTCTTTATAACTCAGAACCACTAACCGGTTGCAACGACGGTTTGGCGACGAGCATGGGATCTGTGGGCGAATGATGAGGTGCGGCGGCGCGGAAGGAGGACATCGGCGGCAAAGGTAGTTCCGCCCCACCGCCTGCCTCACCCACTGGGGCGCCTGCTATACCTGGAACATTAAAATGCAGTATTGACATGATGGCACAGTAAGTCACCTCAGCAACTGCCCCTGTTTGGTATTTATGTCTTCAATTCCAGGGCACAAAAAATATCTCATGTGAGTTGTGGTTCGGAGTAAGGTACTTACGACATAAGAATATGGCAAAGGTCAGAAATCATTCTCGTTATTTTCAATTTTCTTGTGCCTACCTATTGAAATCGTATACTTTTGAGAGTCCGCTGAAGATATAGTATAGTATAATAGACTGATTCTTTGACCAAAATTGATCAGACAGGAAATGTTCCTCGAGAACTATGAAGAATATTCTGAAAGAGGAGTAATCTGTTCTAAGACAAATCATATACGTTACCAGGCGACGTAGCATAAGGGTCGTGCTGGTAAGGCGGCGGTGGCGGCTGGTAATAGGGCGCGGCCCACTCGCCGCCCGCGTAGTACGCTTCCTGGTACGCGCCGCCTGCGCCCGCGCCTTTGGGGGATGCGTACCGCGACGGGGAGTCGTGGCCGAATTCATCGCTGCCATACTGAAACAATGAAATTAAAATTCAAAATAAGTATTTATTAATGCAATGCATCAAATTAAAGATCTCTCGTACTGATTTCTCGCCAGTAATTTTTGTCTTGCTCGAGTGTACCACCAAATGCACACTCAAAATAAATAAATCTAAACATGAGACAGTTATCTATGTGATTCATAAATTGTAGAAGTTCAGAGTTTATACACAATATATCGCTCATCCAATAGAACAACGACGTAATTGCACAAATAACTAAAACGTAATTATCTCATTGTTCTTTTGGATAAGTGATATGTCCGTTAGTCAAATAAATACGAAAACGAAAACTGATTCATGTGTTAAATGCACATGAAAATGACACTATAAATGCTTCCTAAAAAGTATGCGTTTCAAGCAACACATCTTAAACGTGTGAAGAATGCCCATCCTTGAGTTAGAGAATGTGAAAGCTATCGGTAAGGAACCGATGGCTGGACGCCAACTATCCTTTATTACGCATTCATTGAATTATTAATTAATTAACTGTTAACATTACTTGTGCGTGGTATGTGAAATTAAAACGTGTGATCTACGCCGCACTTAAAAACATGTAAGTTTTAAACACAAACATTCTTAACATACGAGTATAATAGTATATGCTCACGCCTTTCAGGTAGTGGACTATTAAAGGCTGTTGATGGCGATGAGTGGGCAAACGAGCAGACGGGTCACTTAATGAAACGTGACTTCTACCGGGCATGGACAAAGAAGAGTCACAAGCGCCACACCGGCCTTCGAGGATACCTCCTAGAGTAAGGGGAAGGTATGTTAGCTTACTTACTCGGTAAAATACAACTTAAGCATTGTTTAACACCTCACTAGCTTACTCTATTGTCATTAAACTTTTAATCCCAACCATCGGGTTACGAGTACTATTTTGGATTACATGCAATTATTTCCTACTTCCATTGTACCTAAATTATATTAATTTGCATGAATCATTTTCTAAAATCTACGGTTACGGTAATGCAGTTCGAATCAGAATCAAAACAACACCATACCCGACGCTGTACAAACCTGCGCTTGCACACAATGGTGGTCTTCCATTACAGTTGTATTGCGACACTACGGGCGAAAGCTCGCTTAATTGCTATTATTGTTACTTATGTTATAGTAACCATTTTAGTAAAATCAACTGTTTCATAGCTCCATATGAAGAGGTTTTAATTATTCTGATTACTTGTTTATTCTTAAGGTGCATAGAGAAATAAAGATAAATAGGTATAAGTATTTGTAAATAAGAATTAAATGTAATTCGATTCTGTCTTTACTTAGGGGGACTACCATTTTAACAGGTAAGATAACGCAGGTGGAAAAATAGTTTCATTGTCTCCAACTAGTTTTCTACCTTCAGTAATACTATGTGCCGGAGAATTAAGGTCGCCCATATTTTGAATTTCGGGTACCTCGAGAGTTACCTTTAGACGAACTAGAAAAAAAATCTTATCATCTTTATATAAGTTAAGTTTATTTAAGTTCTAAATGTGGCTATTTTGTCTTGATTGTGGTTCACAAGGATACTGTAGAGGAACAGGTGGTATACCCCTCCAACATAAAAGGGGGATGCTCCAACCAGGCTAGGTGATCAGGCCTTGCTGACTGAGGCCCAACGGTTGATATTAGGAACTTGTATGTATACTAATAGTTACAAGAACTGTCATTGAGCGAAGCAAGATTAGTATTTAGTCCGTAATTTTTTGTGTCTTTTTAGATGGGAATATGGTGATATAAATATATTACGGATTAAGAACACAGAGTGTCACCACCCCTATTAATCCCGTGGGTGTCGTAAGAGGCGACTAAGGGAAAAAACTACGTGGAACAACAGCACTGCAGAGAGAAGAAAAACTTGACACAAACCCTATACCAACCCGTCTGGCCAGCGTGGTATAGTACGCCAAAACCTCCTTTCCAAGGAGGGGCTTATGTCTAGCAGGGGACTATTAAAAGCTGTTGATGAATATATTACTAAACTAACTAGTACTGCACGGATGGCGTAGTGGTTTAAGCGGTCGCCACGCCGCTTCCTACTACGCTGAGTGTTGTGGGCTCGATCCGCACATGGCACTACTCTTTGTTCTGAGTCTAGGTGTTCTTTGCGTCCGTTTCATGTATGTTTGTAAAGTCCCCGCGATGACGATATAATCCTAACGCAGGAGTTGTCTTTTTAAAATATTAGTACTAAATAACGTTAATACTTTGCTCAATGTTAATAAGATTTTGACATCCCCAGCTACAAATCGCGAACAATTACAATCGTTCTATAGCCGAGTCGTGTCGCAACTCTACAGATATGGCGTTGGACTTGCTTTGTCGTCTAATTTGGGAGACCTGACCACTTGGACAGCGGTGGTACATTCAAGGCAGCTGCCTACAAATACTAGCTAATTGTGTAGAATGGAAGTCAAGCGGTTTGCCTGGCCTCTTGGTCTAGTGGCTAAGCACGATCGTTCGTTCTGTGTCTGTGTGTAATTCATCTATACAAATAAATAAAATTGCATTGTCTAATGTCAAAATAATAGGTTTGTCATGATCTCATGGTTATTCGCACGATACCTATGTCTAAAAACAGTTTAAATATTATCTCTCTGTTTTTTTGTTTACCTGAATCTACAAAACAGCTGGACTGATTTTGATAATATTTTATTAACAGGTAGCTATATATAAGGAGTAATTTAGGCCTCTCAGAAAAACCCTATAAATTTTGTCCGGTCCGGGAATCAAACCCGAGGCCTCATGGACTTCAGTCGTCTACCATACTACACCACTAAGGCAGCGCTTTTTGAATTCTACGCAAATTAGTCGAAGTCGTGGGTACCAGCTAGTATATCATATGTATGTATTTAGATACATATTTCATTTAGATACAAAACTATATATTAAAATGTAAATATACACGGGGTGGAGACCTGGTGTCCTGAAACACAGGCCTCGAGCCTAGCTTAGGCAGCAGTCTCCCACAATATTCTGGAAATGATAATTTGTATTTTTTGTTTTATTCAAATGTAATTATACTATATTGTGGTGAGAAATTAAATTATTATTATTATTATTTAAGTAGCTAAATTTATCAGCAATAGTAAGATTACTAAAGTACAGCCTCTGCCTAGTTTGGGTTCACATGGCCGTGTGTGAGATGCGTAAATTTATAACTTGTAAAAAACTATTATTAATTTAGGAGTTTACTTAAATCCTAATTTTATATGAGGTAGCTTTAAAATATTTATTCTAACGGTTTTCCTACCGCCCGCAATATGTATAAAGGCGAGTTGTTGGTCACCCCTCGCCTGTGTCTGTTGTATGTAGAATAGCAGCGCAAGCGCATTCGACTGTAACGACCCATACCGCAGGATCAACTACCGTGCATATGATTGAATGATTATTTCCTTCTATATAGTGTATCCTGATATGTAGTTTTCCATCATCACAGTAATTAATTTTAAAGTAAAAACTTTATTGACTAATATTCATAATTTATAAGTACTGGTTGACCCACAACTTCGTCAGTAGTAGGTTTGCCCCAAAATAGACACGAAATAATAAAAATTACGTGTTCTCGTAAATTCCCGTTAACATAATTTATACCTATAAAATTACTTGCAGAGCCTATATCGTCGAAGCTAAAAAGTTAAAATTTTGTTAGCTGATGCCTATTAGCACCTGTTGTAAGCACCCATTTTTTGGTAATTTCATCGTTAATGGGGTAAAATAAGAGATGAACGATTGCATGGCAGTTCGTCATTATCAAAGTTCGTCATCAACAGCCTTTAATAGTCTATTGTTGGACATAGGCCTCTCCTTGGAAAGGATATTTTGGCCTGTATAGTAGGCCAAAATCTCGACGGTGGCCAGACGGGTTGGTATTTGGTTCGTGCCAAATTTTCGTTCTCTTTGTGGTGCTGTTGTCCTGCATAGTTCGCTCCCTTGGTCGGCTCCCACGGGTTAATAGGGGTGATGACACTCTGTATTCTTAACATCACAGTTGGAAACACGCAATAATAAATAATCTCGCGAGCGAAGCCGGAAGCAATAGCGAATAACAGATATATGTACGTACCCTATCTCTAATCATAATTTTTACTCAGAATTTGTGATTTGTGATTAGATTAACACGACAATTACGTCAATACTCACAATTACTCACAAACACAAACTAACATAATTTAATATATAAAATTCTCGTGTCACGGTGTGCGTGGTTGAACTCTTCCGAAACGGCTGGACCGATTTTTATGCAATTTTGTGTGCACATCGGGTAGGTCTGAGAATCGGGCAACATCTATTTTCATACTCCTAAATCACAAGGGTGGTATTTTTTTTTTCAATATTTCCTAGAAATAATGTATATGAAAAAACAACGTTTGCGGGGTCAGCTGGTAGGTATATAAAATTCTCGTGTCGCGGTGTTTGTTACCAAAATCCTCCGAAACGGCTGAACCTATTTTTATGAAATTTTGTGTGGATATCGGGTAGGTCTAAGAATCAGAAAACATATCTTTTTCATACCCCTAAATTTTTTTTTTTTTTTGACAAAAAAATTAATTTTCATTTTATTATGATTTATCATTGAAAAATACATACAACAATAATGTATATGGCAAAACAACAGCTAGTATGTATATAAAATTGGAATGTAACCTACCCGTACATCGAACCTACTACACAATATAATCTAAGCCAATGAGTCGCAACTACTCAACAAGTACAAATTAGGAGCAAGGACAATCTATTGTTTAGAGATTGAACATGACAATATACGTTTATTACTCATGCAATAGCCCTCTCACTCTCAGAGGACGGAGGTACATTCAGGCCAGAGCAAGTGGTTACCTTTCATCCTGCAATAGTTTCATTTAATTATCTTGTTTAAAGAGAAGTCCTTTTAAAGGTCTGTATATCTCTATTAAGTCAATCCTAAAAACAATTAAACGTTTACGTATGCTGTCTCTACTGTTACCATATTCATA